TGAAAATGATGATGGCAACATATGTACAAATGTGCTTGACACAATGGATGGATGGATGGATGGATGGATGGATGGATGGATGATAAGAGCTGTAAGAACCCCCAATAAAATGATTTATTAAAATAAATAGATAAATAAAATACCACGAACTGCCAAATCAAAGTGTTACAGAGGAAGTACAGCAAGAGGGTGCTTTAACAGCAAGCATGGTGAGCCTTCTGCTCACGTACTTTGGACATGTTGTCAGGAGAGCCAGAGCCCAGTCCCTCTAGAAGGACCTCATGCTTGGTCGAGTAGAGGGGCAGCACCTCCACATGATGGACTGACACCGTGGCTCCACAAGGGGCTCAAGCATGGGACGACTGTGTTAACCATGGTCAAGCACTTGATTTCTGCAGTTGTTTTTGTGTGATGTATGAACGACTTGCAAAAGTGGTGAGCCATTTCTACTCTCGTCGCTCAGGTACTCGCTGAGGAGAGGAGAACTCACCCTGTTACCAACCAGTGGAGAGAAAACAAAATAGACCCGCTGGGCTCAACTGGGTTGAAAATTCCAAACCTGGCAGCATTTCTAGAAATACTCCAGGGCCCAGTGGTGGTAAAGCCTGGGCTGGAATAAGAAGAGCCCATGCTGTCATTTCCGGGCCTAGTGGAAACTAGGAAGCGCAGAAACCTCCGGGAACAGCCACCCAGGGCTTTCCCTGCCACGGAGGTGGGGAGACATCCATCACCATGCTCAGGGAGACACAAACTTCTGGCCGGGGGGAACCAGGGAGTCCGGCCTCGCTCTTGCCCCCCGGCAAGCACAGAGCTGATCTCAGGACTGAAAGAGAAACGTTTGGTGGACCAGTTAGTGAACCTTGGCAGCTCTTTTCTCTTGAGTAGCCAATAAGTATGACAAGACACCTTTTCTAGAAAGTTTGGGAAGAAGCTACAGAGTCTGCCCTTGGATGTCCTTCAGAAGGTGCGTGGGAGACCAACCTCTCAAAATAAACACTAGGAGTTTCCACAGTGTCCTTGGCAGGAAAGCAAACACGCGTCATCTCCCCACGACACACGTGACGATTCCAAAGTCACAGGAGCAGACCCATCTGGAGTGTGGTCCGCTGTGCCGAGTGTCCCCAGATCCTTTTAGGGGGGCTCGTAACTATTCTCATAATGTGACACTGTTTGCCTTTTTCCCTTCGCCGCGATCACCCCAGCGCTCTGGCTGGAAACGCTGAGCACAGCAAGGCAGCCGCGCCAGGCGTGACCGGTGTTCAGTGTATTCCCCACACCACACACGAGCCATCAGAAGGAAAGAAGCGAGCATGCTCCTTTCACTTAAGAGTATCTGTGCTCAAACAGTAAAACTCACGGATGAAAACATCCTCTTAACATTCTGCGTGACAGACTGGGGGGGGAGAGGGGGCGGAGCAGGGGGCGTGTCTGGGGAAAGGAGTTGGTGTGGCTGACAGTCGCTGGGGGCTGGGGGCTTTCCTGGAACCTGACTTCCGCTGGAAAGAAGCCCGACACCCAAACGGGTTGTTCACACCGAGATGGTTGGCAGACTGCTGCCTGGAAAGGAAACAGAACCTCCCAACCTCACGGCAGGCACAGGACATGTTTACTGCCAACAGTAAAATTCCCACTTTCGAGTTAAAAGTTGGGAGTTTTAGAAAGCGAGCGTCTGCCCCTGTCACTCTGTGGTTCTCTCCGGTACTGAAAAACGTTGCTGACAAGTTGGGTGGTGACAGCAACACGTGTTGATTTTTTTAAGTGCGGAACGATGCGATGTGTCCACATTTGGAAGATCGGCATAATTCAGTAAGCTACTATTTTTCAAATACTCAGTACATCGTGTTACAAACCCACGCAGGGATAAAGGGTCAAGAATTGCAGGTGACGAGTTGCAAGAGGCCATCGATGTGGTTTTAGATTTCCATTACTAAGAAACTACCACTGGCTGAGTTTGGGTGTAGAACCAAAGAATAGTCCTAGTTGCCTGGAAATTCTATCAAAAGACTCTTCCCTGTCTTTTGAAACTACATTTCTGCGTGACGCAGAGCCCCTTTGGTCCATCGAACCCACACGGGACCTTTGGACAATCTTCAATAAGTCAGACTTCAAGGGACGAGCAAACCTGACCAAACAATGCTACTTGTCTCACCAGTTTTTTATCTTTGTATTTTTTCATGAAAATGTTCTTTGTATTCAGTGTGATGGCTTTATTCTTATTATTTCTAATCATTTAGTAAGCAAGTCACTTGATACCCTGCTGACCCGACGACACCCGCTGGCTTGGCTCAGCGTGTAGCCGGAAGACCAGCAAGCAGGTATTTGTCAGCTAAGCGTCAGAATCCAGGCAGCAGCTTCAATTACTTGCAAAAAACAAGATCAAGGAAGAAATGGATGCATTTCCAGAAAAGCTTTAGCTGTGTAGCAGACGTGAGGCTTTATCATTGATATGTAGGATATAATTTTAAATAAATAGATTTCGTTCACAGTTAAAACAAAGACAAAAACAAATGAAACTGATATGCATTGGGATTTCTTTTTCCTTGGAACTCCCAGGTGTTCAAAACAACAAAACCCAATAAGACCTTCTGCAGGCTTGGCTGGGTGTCCCCCCTCCCTGCGAGGCAAAGGCAAAGCGGGGTCGATGTGTTCTCACTTGGCAAAGGAATGTAACACCCGAGCATGTCAGAGACTGAAGGGCCTTAAGACCTCTTCAGTCCGTCCATGTCGGTGGGCAAGAGGGGGACACTGAGGGCAGGGTAAGAGACGAGGCCTGCCCACAGTCCTGTCGGGAGTTTATGGCCAGGGCAGAAAGGAAACAGGGGCAGGTGTTCTTAGCACCCTAAACGGATCCCTCTTGTGTGGTAGCTTGTGTGGTACCCCAAAACAAGCCCGAGGCGGCATCTTTGGTCCCCTCTCAGAACAAGAGTAAGCGCGCTAGACCCACCTGTGGTGAACTGGCCGTGGGCCCAGCCATCAGGCCTCGGACAATCAGGCCCGACTTGTGCCTGGTCTTCTCGCCCATCCTCTTCAAGTCCACAGACGGCTCCGATGACTTCAGATTTTCCATCTTGTCCCACGCAGGGGCCAAGGCGGGGCCTTCCCCTGGGATGGTCTGCAGGGGCTTGCTTTTGTGGGGGGGTCTTTTGGAGGATACAAAATTACCGAGTACATCCCCATCAAGATTGTCATGTCTGCAAGAGAAGAAGAAAAAAAGGTGGGGGGGGGGGAATAATTTCCTTGAATCAGATTCTCCTAAAGCAATCAGAAGCCATAATGCCAGGTTGAACACTGAACAGGCACTCAGAGTGAGCCTTTGGCCAAAAAGATAGGATTTCTAACCAGCCATGCTCTATCATGAAAGGCAGGGAACAGAAAATGCTTTGATATCTGAGGGACTTCAACCTACAAAATAAAACTGGTGAGCAGGCCAAGGCATCCCTCACTAATTATCCATGAGAGGCCCCTCAAGTCCTCAAAATCAAGAGCATCTCAGAGAGCTCCAACCTCAGTGATCAAGGAGAAACGCAGCACCCCAACACAGTCAGCCTGACCTCCCGCCATTGATTAGAACAGTGGTTCTCAACCTTCCTAATGCCGCAACCCTTTCATACAGTGCCTCATGTGGTGATGACCCCCGACCATAACATTATTTTCATTGCTACTTCATAACTGATTTTGCTACTGTTATGAATCGGGCAATCCCTGTGAAAGGGTCATTCGACCACCAAGAGGTCAAGACCCACAGGTTGAGAACCATTGGATTAGACAGACGGATGGATGGATGGATGGATGGATGGACGGACGGACGGACGGACGGAGAGATCCAAAGTAAAACCACTACCATTGAGTCAATTCTAACTCATAGGGACTTAGAGGATCTAATAGAACTGCCCCCTGTGGTTCCAAGACAAGCATGGTAGTAGGTAAGTAGGTAGGTAGATAGGTAGACAGGTAAGTAGATAGGTAGGTAGATAGGTAAGTAGGTAGGTAGATAGGTAAGTAGATAGGTAGATAGGTAAGTAGATGGATAGGTAGGTAAGTAGGTAGGTAGATAGGTAAGTAAGTAGGTAAGCATGGTAGTAAGTAGGTAAGCATGGTAGTAAGTAGGTAGGTAGATAGGTAGGTAAGTAGGTAAGCATGGTAGTAAGTAAGTAGGCAGGTAAATAGGTAAGTAGGTAGGTAGATAGGTAAGTAGGTAGCTAGATAGATAAGTAGGTAGGTAGATAGGTAAGTAGGTAGGTAGGCAGGTAAGTAGGTAAGCATGGTAGTAGGTAAGTAGGTAGGTAGATAGGTAGCTGCCTTCAAGTTGACTCTAACCCCTAGCAACCTAAGTACAACAGAATGAAATGTCATCCAGTCCTGTGTCACCCCCCCACATTGCCCACGTGGGTGATGCTATTGTTGCAGCTAGGGCATCGAGGCATCTTACCGAGGGCCTCCCTCACCCTCACCCTCACTGGCTCTCTACTTCACCAAACATAACGTCCTCTCCTATCGAGTGATTCCTCGAGAAGTTGATCCCTCCTAATGATAGGTCCAAATCAATTGATCAGGACAGATTCAGTTGTGATCCACAGGTAGGTTTTCACTGGCTAACTGTCAGAAGTAGATCACTAGGGTTTTCTTATTGTCTGTTAGTCTGGAAGCTCTGCTGAAATTTTCCCATCATGGTGACCCTACTAGTATTTAAAATACTGGAGGTGTAGCTTCTAGCACCACAGCAACATGTAAGCCCCCAGAGTAGGACACACTGACACACACAGTGGGGCGCACCATTGGTAGAAGGGTATAAAGAACCACAGCACTGGGGTCTCGAGGCTCATGAGCAGCCATCTACAGTGTGACCCTTTGCCCCCCCTGCCTGAAAGAGAGAGGAGTGATGGAAATTGAAAGGCATATGGAAACAGTGAGTCCAATGGACTAACGGACCACACAGACATCAGTCTCCACAACCTTCTTCTGAGACCAGAAGAACTAGATGATGCCTGGCCACCGATGCTCTGAAAAAGGGTTACATTAGAAGGTCCTGGGAAGAATTATTTTTAAAAAAACAGGTGGAATGAAACTCAAAATCATGTTATTGGTCGGATGGATCCCCCCTTAGTCACCCTTCAGTCTAGAACTGAGCTCATCCCCGGTTAGAAGAATCAACCACTTAAGCTCTAAAAAGTAGCTTCCCCCAAAAGCCGGGGGCTGGGAAAGAGGCGGAATGGAGTCAGGAGGCAGAGGGAGGGTGGGGTAAGCGACAGGCACTAAGGAGACCGAGAAGGGCGGACTGAAACAAAGCGTGTCTGAATCACTGGATCTATCACTGGCGGGCCGCTCTATCCGTCTGCATCCACTTCACAATAAAAAGCTTTGGGAAAAATTAAGTAAGTTCAAAGATAAATAAATAAAATATAACCCCCGCAAACACTCAGGTGTTCCCTGGCTGTTCCGTTAGGGTTGGAGTCAAGCACGCTAATGGACATGTTTCCTGGGCTGCTTGGTTGAAAGTGAGAGGGAGTAAAGTGTGTGTGTGTGTGTGTGTGTGTGTGTGTGTGTGTGTGTGTGCGCGCGGGTGTGTCAGTATGAGTGTGTGAGAGTGCGTGTGTGACTCAGTGTGGGTCGGTGTGTGTCAGTCAGTGTGTGTCTGCGAGTGTGTTGGTATGG